CTCACCAGGGGAGCCTCAAATAAAGACTTGATCAGCCTATTAAAAAGTATCTATTTCATGTCCACATGTAATGACGAACCAATTATCTGCTTATAAAAAAAAACACGATCGCAGTGAAGTGGTGCAGGCAGTGATTGTGTAAGCGTCCACTTTTTTGACTCTGGGATATTTTTTTTTTAAATCTTTTAAATCCTCTTATGTAACTCTAACCTCCACTTTACGATAACATTACACAGCCACTTGCTGAAATTGTTATGTCGTGTAAACTCAAAGTTAATATATCCGCTGAGGGCAAAGATAACCTGCAATAACGATGAATCACACGAGAGTCTGTTTTTTGAAGTGGGACCCGACACTGAGAAAAGCCTGATTCTGTGAAATGCCCATTGGCCCGAGCACAAGTCGAGTGCAGGAATTATTCAATGTGCTGCAAAGGCAATGCTTGTGGTGAGCTCACAGTCCTCTGCATCATGCGTAGCCCTCCTCATCTGTGCGTGGAGAGCGCAGGCTGGAGCACTTACATAACCCAGTTAAAATATACCCCAGTCACATGTAACGTTCAGCCCTGCAGATAGATATCCCACTGTCGCTTGAGCTGCTTTGGCAGCCGTTCAGACATTAGAGAGAGTATAAACACACACACACACACACACACACAATCACACGCATGAACACGCAAACACACACACACACACACACACAAAAGATTTGACAGTGATTCGCTGCCAGACTTTCTCAACTGCCTGCATGTGAACTGTGTGTGGAAAATAGTCAGGGAGCTTTCTCTCTGAGTGAAGCGCATGTGACTGAGTGGAGATGGACCGGGAAGAAGCCACAAAGGGAGAAGGGAGGGTACATGACGGGGTGCCGGAAGTCCAACCCTTTAAAGTCACAAAAATGCGCCCAGTATCACTTCTCCTCCGACTACATAACCTCTAACACCGACTCTAAAAGCTTATTGGCTGAGCCCTGCCACACACAACTGGCAACCTCACCGCTCACACACACAAACTTACTGTTGCAGTGTGCCCACACTACGTGCAGTCACATTTCTGGTGTGTGGGCGGGGTTAACTCTGCACAAACTAGCATTTACTGTAACAGGATGACATATCTGGAGGAGTAAGCTACACCAGTGAGAAGTGGAAGACACGTTTTCTAACCAAGACTAACAAGAGTTACAGAGTCCAGACTCAGTGAAGCTTCGGCCAAATTATGCAAGACTTATACATAATTTTCAGTTTTTTTCAGTTATTGTCATGTGCAGCATATGAGGAGATCATTATGAAACAAGGGCACTTGGAGCATTTTCTGTGTTGTAATCCTTCCTAAAAGCAGACATGCTCAATTTATTTCAGGACACACACACGTATACAAGCAGCGGGGTCCAACGCCTCGAATCTTACAGGAAAAATTATGTAATCCTATTATTTCAAAGCTTGGAGCGCTACATGGACTGAATATTCTGCACAAATGTCAATTGTATCCAACAGCCAATTCATGTGTCTTTAAATTCTGATCCACACTGTCATGGTGCACATGTTTGTGTTTATGTTTGTGCCCCCTGCAGCAGCTTGACTTGTCATTAACACAGTTATGCGCATTCCAGTCAGTCTTCTCCTCCCTCTGAGCTCAGACTAAAAGCCTGTGCATGGGTAACACTTAAGCTATAAATGGCGGGCAGTTATAATGTGGACAATGCCGTGAAAAGCCTGCTGGTTTGGTGTCTGAATTTAGTGACTCGCACACACACACAGGCACAAATACGTCACTATAGGTCCAGATTTGGGTTCAGGACAGAATATGGCTCACAGCCAGAGTACACTGAGCTGAGTCATATGCACAGCTCATTGCAGGGGACAGCTGCTAGTAAGAAAAGACACACACATATACAAGTTGCCCTGCCAGCAGCACCCAAACACTCTCATATATACACCCGTATCCGCTTGCAGCGCACTCTTAGGTAAGGCCGTGTTCCATCACTTAACAGCATGCATGGGAAACGAAGGTCAACTGAGGCTAACAGCGAATGCCACAGTCAAGGGAATGTGTCAACAACAGTCTGTTGCATTAGGCAGCCTGTTAGAACAGAAAAGACTGATTCTGCAACGTTTCACACTGTATATTATACACGCATGCATGAAACAACAGGCTGTGGACTTTCTGGGCCTATGGGGTGAAGAGTGGCATTGATGCTCACCCACGCACATGTGCTGCGATTCTCTAAAAGGGCTGATTTGAGCAGATGTTAGCTGTATGCCCTGTAATAAAGTGGGCGTGAGGCTCTGATTTGGCTTTTATTTTTTATGAATGAGAGCGGGAGACATGCAGTCTCTGTGGGATACAGAATCAGCCAGCCTCTCTGACAAATTGAAAATCACAGTGCCAGTTTGTGTTGTGTGTGACTCACCGCGCATCCTGACAGCAGAATGCACAGATAAAAGAGTCTCCTTTGTGAGGAGATAGCAAATTGCTGCTGTTGTTTCTTTATATGGATGACAAATTGCAGCAGCTGAATGGAGCTGGATTATTGTTAATCTATAAATGTTCCTGTAGATCACACAGAAGATATAAGGACACATTTAGAACAATAATGCGGTTTTGCACTTTCAACAAAGGACATCTGAGCAGTCATTAGTCACATACAGACGCTCTACATTGTATATTGAGCCTGTACGGATTAACTACTGCATACTTGTACACGAAATGCCTCTTTGATCCAAAAAAAATGACAGTTTCCTAAGCTTTGAAGTGCATGTGATATATTTGTCTGTGACATAAAGGCGTCGCAGACAAACAAGGGAAATGAGAGTTTGCTGGGAATATGTAGGAAGCTCATGGTCGTCACAGAGTCTGGGGTCAGCGGAGGATCTATTCCTTGGGAGCGGAGTGGCATGGGACTGTTTGTGCGAAGGTTGCAGAGGCTCGCAGGACTATCAAAATTCAACATGAGTGACTTATTATGCTGGGAGGCCTATCAACATGAATGGTTTTATGTGTTCTCTGCATTCTTGACAGCAGGATGTGATTAAAGACACAGCAGCCAATAGAAAAGCCATGCGTTAGGACCCTAAAACTGTATTGCCCTGGTCCTGCATGCTCCTCTCATTAAACAAAAGTAGTAGTATACGCTCCTTTGTGCTCACATGACCACGAAATGCTCCTGGAATCCAATCACTACAGCAGAAGCTCATTATAGAAAAGCACAGAAGACATTCCAAGTCCGTGTGCATTTTATGTCAGACAGATTCGCACCCAGTTGTTAAAACAGTCTGGGCATCTATTTTGGCTCAGTTAACATCTCACAGCGCCTTTACACACGTGATCTGTTCACACTCAGAGAGGAGGGAAAGAAATGTGTGCTGTTTTAAATCCTGTTTGTTCTCATCGTCAATCGAGGGAGACGACGAGAGGAGGGCTGGTTATGCCTTTTGAGTGGGTGTCACCCAATTGCATGTGATCACGTTTGCTGTGAGAGGGTTCGTGACTCACCGGCTCAGGATCCTTGTCTGGCCTCTGACAGAGTGCTCCTAATCCCACCCTCTCAGGCAGTCAAATGGAGGTCCTGTGAGTCATGCCTTCACTGCCAATATATCAAAAAAAAAAACAACATCAACAACCCCACAAACACACAGAAAAGACACAGAGTGAACACACACACACCATGTAACTGCCTGTTGAATTCCAGTCAGATTGACTCATAAAGTTATGCGCTTATTGGGTTTGAGCCTGGAGCTTCTATGAATGTGTAAAATAAAAAAGGAAGTATTCATTTTTACTATAAATCTTAAATTCAATCACACCTAAAATCACTTTCATACACATGTACATAAATTTAAGTGGCACTTTGGAGCAGTAACGCTTAAATTTATGATTTTTTCAATTCAGAGTGAAATGCTGAACAGTGTTTCCCACAGAAACTATAGTAACTAGTTACTTCAATCAGTCAATCAGTGAGTCGATGAATGTGTCCCCATTGGTTTCACGTGAGTGAGACGTAAAAGCTTTGGCACACATGAAACTCGGGCCAAATTGAAAAAACACATGGAGACCAAGAACGCTTTAAAAACCGTCATGCTCACATGAACATTATATATAAAAACCATATGATCTGCTCATAATGTATGATGCACTGACAGATCAAACAATAAAAAGACATGCAAAGAAGGAGAAATATCATGTACATGTAAAGATAGTGTTATGTAATATTATTGAATCATTGCTGCTGACATATTCATGCAAGCAGGACTGTTGCTATTGCTGACCAAGGCTCAATCTTAGTGCTTTAAACACTTTTTAGTAGTTTAATAGACTATATAATCATTAATCAGACTATATTTTATTAATGAATTTAAAGAGAAAGGTTATCTATGTGTCTTCTTAGTCCTAGCATTGCAGTAATGCTCAGGTAAATGAGTTAAATAATCCAATTAAAAGTTATATAACACTGTAACTTCAAGTCAACCTGTTTTTGGAGTGTTATTTTTTACTCGAGGAGAGAGCTCAGGTCCTCCAGGACTTAACTTAAGTGGACAAAGACAGTCTGGGCCAGAACACCAAATATATATTCTGCTTAAGTGTCCTTGAGCAAACTCCGACTGTGAATGAAGCCTCTAAAAACTGCTGAGTGCGCCTTTACCATGCCGCTCTGCTCAGCTGCTCTTTGACATGCCACAAGTCAGTCATCATCATCACCATCACCATCCTCATCATCATCAATCCGATGATATAATGAAGAAGGATGCCTGCAGAATGACCAAAACTAGCCCTGGACTGACTTTTCGCCCAGCTGCTGAAAATGTAACTGATCCGCGTGTCCACGTGTTTGTGTCATTTCCATGTCATTTGCATATGTAAACCGGCCTCGCCTATCGCTCCGCAGCTGCACCTCGACAACGAGCCGATTCGTCGGACGGGTTCGCTCGACGAGCCAATGAGAGAGCGGGTACGCGTGAGTCCCGCCCCCTCAGACACGTTGCCTTGGGAGAAGTAACACGGGCCGATCACTGGCTGTACGGACCCCTTCACTCACACGCCGCACGTTCGACACATCAGCTGCTCTCTGCCCGACAGTCCTGCTGGATTTACCACTGAGCACAGGAGGAGTTTAACCGGCCGCTGCATCCTAGGAAGGTACGTTTAACCTCTAACCGCGTTTTTATCAAACCTCACCATCAGAGAAACAGCAGGTATTACACTTGTTCAATCTTATTTGTTAACTACTATGGTTTTTGTATTTGAAATAAATCATGCGGCGGAATTTGAATCAGACACGGTGATCAGGGATGTTGATGTAAAGAGATATAAAACATGACAAATGAAAGTATTCAATGATAGTCATTACAGCCAGCGTTTGAGGTTTTATTATCTAACAGTGCATGCTGCCAAATTTACTATGACTATGAGGAAGTCCATTGTGTCTGTTACCAAACTGATCTAGAGCCTGAGCCTCGTCTATAGGCGACTAACCGGATTATTCCTTTTGATATATTTAACCAAAACCATCTACTTTGTCATAAATCAAGGTTATCACAGTTTTTTCTTTTTTAAATATATAAGTCCAGCCTGTTTGTGTGTTTGTGTGTGTGTGTGGTGCTCGGCATCTCTGTTCATGTGCCCCACCTACACAGGTACACCGAGATACTGAGAGCACAGAGCCGCCTGATAGTGGAGTATTTTATCAAAGAAAAGTGTGATATTTCAATATAGTATGTGTTGCTGTCTGAGCTACAGCATCTATTTGATTTTTTGTCTATAACACTGAAGGTAGAAGGCATGTGAGGTGCATTTAAAGGCCCAGGACATGTGGGTGTTTTTAAGATACAAGCTATCATGTGTTTTTTTCATTACAGCAGATTTAAACAGAGAAATGCTCAATAGTGTTTACTTTGTTTTCACATTGTTAAAGCTGTGTTAAAAGCGATATATATCATACATGTTTTTGTAAGAATAGGCTGGTATAGTGTTCCTCTTCTTGACCAAAAGGATCCTTGTGGTTTAGATTACTCAAGATATAATAAAGTTAGATGTCGATACAGACAGTGCTGTAGATAGATTTGTGTATTATGTGATGGAAAATGTTAAGAAAGGACTCTAAGGTTGGATTTTCAAAGAGCAGAGAACAAGTTTGGTTGTATTTCTTATGTCTGATATCTTGGATATTGATACTTTACAATATAACACTAGCTGTATTCAGTCACTTGTGCTCATGGCGGATCCTTTAAGCAGGAGCCATATTAAATCCTGCAGCTGGAAACTGTTTTTTCGTGAATGTTGAAGATTGTCCAATCAGTAAATCTCTTCTTTAGACGAGGAACTACAGAGCAATTAAGTCTCTAGCCTCCAAAATCCACCTCAGATAAGTGAAAGTGTAGATTAAACCTCTCAAAAAACAGAATTAGTCTGAAAAGGCTGTTCCCACTTCCCACATGCGCTGATAAGTGCATGTTTTGAAGGATGTAAAGATCCCACAAGTAATTAAGCGTCCATTATGTCCGTTGTTGGTTTGGAGTTTTCATGCGTCATACTGTGAACAAACAGTGCCAGGCTCTTATTTTGTTAAACCCTTCCCCTCCACAAGTGTCACTTGTGTTGATGGGCAGTCTGAGGGGGCTGGTCGTCATGGTGGCAGACCCCTGCACCCATTGAATATACAAGCAAACAATGTTTTTGAATGATTTTGGTGGTGGCAGCTGGCTGAGCTTGAATGAGTGGTGAAAGTACCGAAGCTGGAGGCAGTAAAATGTAAAAGAAACTTGTTCCCGTGTGACGTCATGATAGGGAGATTTATGGTGACAATAATTCTGTGTGGCAATGATTGGTGTCCCTGAGTGCTTTGTGGATCACTGTGGAGACTCAAATGTTTGCTGTTTGCGTTTGATGGTGGCTGGCCTGTGTTTACTGGCTCAGGTGTTACAGCTGCAAAACAAACAGGTCATTGTGGTCTCAACAACTGTGGTCTCACTGCCACCATCTGCTCGACTCAGTCTCTGCCTTAATTCATGTTTACTGGGCTTCAAATACTGAACATTGAAAGTTTTTTTTAGACAAAAACTAACTTGCAGCTTTAGTCTACGGGCATTTCAACTGAACCTGTTTCTGTCTTGGAGTCACAGTTTCTCAATGTGCTGACCCTGACACCTTCCCTGTGTCATATCATAACCATTACTCTTTGTCTGCGCAGGTCAGTGATGGTCAGTGCTAGTTAGAGCCTGCAGCCGAGGATGTCTGCTACAGATTCGGACAACTCCATTGACTGGCTGGCGAGTGACAATGAGGACAATGAAAGCGAACGGGAGTCTGACTGTTCCAGAAAGCACAGCCAGACAGTCGCACCTCGATCCCCCAGCGCCACCCCCCCACACCTGGGCCCGTCTGACAGCAGCTGCCGCCGGGGCAGCGAGGTGAAGGAAGGCGACAGCGACTGGAGCGAGGTCAGGCAGGCCTCCGGCCGGGGATCTCCCCCCGACTGCAGGGAGACGTGGGACAGCTCCATTGGACTGTATAAAACACAACAAGGAGGAAAAACAAACAGCAAGAACACTCAGCAAGCACTGAAGAGGCCTCGCAGCTTCACCGAGGAGGAACGGCAGCTCATTTCCAACGTTTCAGAGAAGAAACAGCTTTTTAGTCGGAAGGTGAGCGCCTCTGAGTGAAGTCTGGGGGTGGGTTACAGAGGAGAAGCCAAACTAGAGCATGCCCTATCACCTAGATCTGCTCCCCTGCTGTTTTTACGGATGTCTCATGTGTGACATTTCCAGTTAAAACAGCCCTCCCTTATAGCCCTATAGGAAGAGTTAGTCACTCTTTTCTGAGTCATCTTATCACAAACCAAACTGAGTCCATCAGTAAAGCAGCAGGAGGGGGGAGAACTTGAGTGAAGCATCTTTTGGCATGTTTTTTGACCGAGATATAACCTACATTTTAACCTATTTTATTTTTATTTTCAGTGCATGGAGCTACAATGCTACATTCACCCGCTGTCATCTATACTGAATGGCCTTCGTTCAGGGAGATACAGAGAACGTAAGTCGATTAATCATTTTTGTTCTTGTCTCTGAAAAAAAAACCTCAGACATCTATTATTTACCACAACCTGTCAACCCCTGCTCATTTTTTTCCTGCTTACTTGTGGGTCTGAGGGAAATATAACACTTTACAGACAGTATGCCATCCCTCATGGAATAAATGAGATTGAAGAGTGAGATGTCTGAAACATACTGTCGTGATTTATTGAATAACCACAAGTATTTCCTTTGTGTCTATTTTTTATAGTGGAGCTCATTGTAGGTGAAAGTTCACAGACAAGCTACACTGTCCACTTTAAGAGCAACAAAATTGGTGGTTATTTTTTTTTTTTCATTCGAGAACAACCTGTAAATGAGCTGCTCGGCCAAAGCCACTGAGAGCACAGTGTCTGTAAATCAGCTGCTGTTTGTGCGAGAGGCACTTTGAGAGCCTTTCAAAGATAGTGCCATGTCAGAGACAGCCTTTAAAAACCTGCTTAATTTGGGATCTCTGTCAAACCCAGACCTCAAGTGACCCATCACTTCCTGGCCGTAGAGGCAGGGAGTCTGTTCCCCTCCTCCTCACACACACACACACATTTCACACAATCCATCTGCTCCACAGACTCAACACTGTTGTCGACAGAGTTCACTCGGCTCATAGTACATGTTTCCCCTTTTGCAGGACTCAGCAGTTTCCAGGAGAGTGTGGCCATGGACCGGATTCAGAGGATCATGGGTGTCCTGCAGAACCCCTGCATGGGGTGAGTTCCCTCAGTGTGCCTCTGTACTGTTAAACAGTAACCTCTTTTGTCTAAAGCTTTGCCGCGTATCCCATGTTCATACACTGTCTCGTTTTCGGTCAACATTCAGATAATGCGGAAAATGTTTCTTACTGTCATGTGGGTCAAAGTGGTCTCAAACATGTCCGTGACACATGGCTCACAGCAGGCCGCCCTGGAAGGAGCTACAACCCCCACGCATTCAGGATAAATTTCTGCCGTGATGGCTGGCATGCACTTTAGCCGGGTATCTTGTTAAAAATGTATCAGGCTCCTCTGTGAGAGCAGCACACTTATGTCTGCCTGATTAGCCCTCCACTGACCAGACGGCATAATGGAGTATGATATCACCCCTTAAAAAGAGAAAGTCTCCTTCCCCTGTGATGTGATAACTTTGACTCATTTTGATGTTACACATTTTGTTTTTCATTATCTGATAGCAAACCTAACACTTTTCGCCTCTTGAGCATCTTATTTTGCATATTGAAAAACAAAGTATATCAAACCTGGAAAGTAAAAACTCTTTTGACCAACTAACAAGGATTGTCTGGATTGATTAACCTTTGAATATTTATAATTCAAGCCAGACGTCTAGTCTTGTTTCTGTTGAAGAGAAAGATTTAAATTTGACAACATCTTCTTGAAGATAAAAGCACACACACAACTCATGCTAAATTTAACATGTTTACACTGATGGATGAACAGGGCTTTCATTAATATGTACCTAAGCTGGAACCAGAGGCGGTTTGCAGATATATAAGATAAAGTGCTGCTGAGATGGCACAGACTAATTGGAGCCCTCACCCACCAGCTGCTGCCTTCATATGGGAGACAAAGAGTGGGTGTGGCAGACTCCCTGCAGACTGCCGGGGCAGAGGCTGGAAGGTGGACTAAACCTCCCCCCACCCCCACCTCCTCCTCCTCCTCCTCCTCCTCTTCATCGCTCCCTGTGCCTGCTCTGTGTTGCCAGCTGGCAGCCCCTGCAGCTACACAATGGTAGATAGGATCAAAGTGACTTTTTTAGCAGTCACTGTTGCGGATAATCTTTCACATGAATTTAACATGCTCTGAATGGGAGTATAGCGGGGAAGGTCCTGATCATATGACACACTCTAATCCCTACCCACCATCTGGTTTTGACGGGTGGGAGTTAATGGGACCCGCTCTCTGCTGTCTACCTCCAGCGAGAACTGCGTCACCACGACGAGTTTATTTTCACGGTGACGCCATCAGAGACCGCTGTGGATTTGGTGTTTATATTTAGAGCCGAGTAGAACTATTATACATCAGGCCACGTGTGAGCTCAAAACATGTGAGAAATGTACTCCACCCCTTCTTACGTACACACACACACACACACACACACACACTTATTGAATACAAGCGTTGCTAAGTGAGTGTGTGTTCACCCGCTGTTCAAGATTGCATATTTCCTGTGTGAGCTTGATGGAGAGATAAGATTTCAGGAGGTGGGCAAGATTGTTAGTGGATTACTCAGATTGAACTCAACTAAATTCTTTTCTCTCTCTCTCTGCTTTTCTTTCTCTCTACAGGGAGAAATACATCAATATCATTCTTAAAATGGAGGAAATGCTCAAGAGCTGGTTCCCTAACATAAAACTCCAAGACCAACACTCTGACTCTGAGACAGAGGAAGCCGTTCCTACCAAGAAACTGAAGGTAAGCCGTACAAAAGCAGAAGTGTTGCGTAAGAACTCTTGGGTTACACAAGGTCTGCTGCCAAAAACACATGGTGACGGCGCAGTGAAAAGAGGGACCAAAATATCTATTATTATTTAATTACAGGTGTGGGCCAGAGAAGGGAGGATTAAAAGCTATTTTTGCTGAGGTATTACTGCAGTCTCAGGTTTACTAAGAACAATGACAGAGGAGAAAAGGTAATTTTGGAGGAGTGTCGCTAAGGGGATAAGAAAGGTCACAACGCTCTGGAACATTCCGTTGCATTTCATCGGAGAGGATTTATTTCTGTGGCTAATCCTGACACACCCTTCCAATAACAGGAATGTCATGTTGCTTATTTCCCAGCCACCAAAATAATCTGTTTTCCACTCAATCGCTGTTTATACTACAACAGAATTTCTTCAAAGCTTCTCAAACCACTACTTAGAGATTAACAAGAAAAAGAAATCAGTACTTATAAAGTGAAAAAAGGACTGCTCATATTTACAAATCTACAGATTAGCGCTTCATTCTTTAGCTCTTGGCTCTACCGTGGGTTTCAGCTGCATGGGCTTTTTGTTGTAACGTGGCAGTCTGAAGCGTTTCTGTTTCGACCAAATCGTTTTGCTCTTATCAGAGTTGCTTTTGGCCGTCACAGTAAAAATGTTTTCTGTGATTAACCCAGCATGAAGAAGCTGCCCGACAACAAACTGCAGAAAAATTCAGTTTGCAACAAGATAATAAACATAGTGGATCGGCTAAGGCTCTGAATGGTCTGATTTAAACTCTTAAGTCAGTGTGGTGTTTACATCTTTTTTGCTCTAACTTCAAATGGTATGTAATTGTTTAAATTCTGTCAGTTTGATCTCAGTAAAGGTTGGAGTTACACTTTTGGCTGTGACGGCAAACTCAGTCTCTTTTTTTGATATAAAACAATTAAATGAAATTCAACTCTTCCCCAACAGCTTTCTCCAGTGACCGTCACTGCAGCTGTGAGTCCTTTCACCATCAGTGAGCCTCCAGCCGCCACCAAAGCTCTGAGAGTCACCGACCTTACTCCTCCAGGAGCGTACTCCGCCAGTAACCTGAAATGGCTCCACACCTCACCCATCTGCTCCCCAACAGCAGAGCAGGCCCAGGCAGGACCCAGGCACCTGCAGTCCCCCAGAGACAGAGACCTAACGCAGGACAACGCTGTGTCCTCCAGCACAGATACCCCCACTAAGACAGACTCTGTGCCCAGAGGCCCTCCGCCTGGGAAAATCAACGCTCCCTGCTTAGAGAGGCTCCTAAAGTCCACAGAAAGCATCATCAGCCGCAAGGGAAGTGGAGGTTTGATGGACAGCAGCTGGTCCTAGTCCACACAGTGAGCTGGGTGTCCAGCTGCAAGCACCTCTCAGCCCAGCCTAGCCTTGCCCACCCTGCCGGGAGCCAGTCAAGCTCGCTTCGCCCATTCCAGCCTTCAGGGGAGACGGGAGCCTTCAAAAAGGGATGTCACAGATTCCTCTTTAATGTGCAAGGAGTGTTGACGAACATGTACTCTCTGTACGGGGAATGTGCCCTCTCTAACATGACAAGTGTCTGCTTCAGATCCTTTTTTGTTGACTTCTCTTTCTTTTTTTGTTTGCACCCTTGAAAACCATGTGTGCGAGTGGGAAAGGATAGATGTCACATGCCGAGATCACCGGAGTTGGTGAACTCACAACTGAATTGTTCCCACTGGCTTGTAGATGCAATAATACAGTTTAAGTATCTGTGAAAAATACCATTTTGCCTGAAAGGGAAATAATCAGGGATGCACCGGAATGAAAATTTTTGGCCGAAACAAAAACACCGAAAGAAATTGTTATACCAGTTATTAGCACCACTGCGTTTATGGCTATAACTGTGTACTAACTTCACTAAAATCAAGGCATTGTAATTGCATAAATCAATATTAATTTATATAAGACATTAGATTATTAAATTATGCAATTGTAATGTGAGTTTTTTTGTTTTTGAGTTGCCGCGTGTACTGTGTGGTTTACACCTGTAGATGGCGCCTGCGAGTCAAGGCCAAAAACAACTTAAAAGGTCTAAAAGAAATTGAAGTAGCAGGAGTCGAGCAGGAGTTTGCATCGCAGTGTTGATTTGTGATGCAAACTCCTGCTAAGCCTATGAATAAAAGTGAAAGGAAGTGAAACACCCCCCCGCCGGCGTCTGCAACATCTGCCACAGATGGAGTGGGCGTTTGGGGTGATTGGGTTGTTCATTTAAGGTGGTAAATTAAACCCGACATGAAGAAACATTTTGCAGATGCACCCCCTCTTCAAATTTTAGCATTACACGCTATGCAAATCGCTATTCGCATGTTGGCCCTTATCTAGACAAGCGCGAGCATCATTTCGGCAGTGATGTTTTGGTAATTTAAGTGTTTCGGACGATAATTTTCTGTGGCCGAATTTTCGGTGCATCCCTAGAAATAATTGCAGAAGTAGTTTAAGCTGGAAGGGAGTATTTCAGACATCCAGACATGTCAGTGGTCTACATATTGTTGTGCTAAAAATGTGGGTGAAATGTGATGTTATTATCTCCCTCCCAGACCCCATGACTCCACTCTTAAGTTAATTGATGTGACTGTTACTCATTTGTATACTTTATAAATAAGTCTTTTGGTACAACTGTTCTACCTCAGTGGACACCACGTCACAGTTAGTGAGTAGGAATGTGAAAGTAAGGACACCTCACCAGATCTGCAGTGAGCCAAACGGCCTCTGTTAGCGAGGTCTGCAGTACGTGTCGCTCTGCTCGTACAAAAACAGAGGACACTCTCTCTTTGGGGATGCTTTTCGTGGCCTGACTGGTGCCATTGTAAAGAATGTCAACTGCAGATTCCTTTTTTTGAGTCTCCCATTCGAAGGCAAACAGTGCCTGTAACATCAAGCTGTGCCTGTAAGCCAGTTTGATAAAAAGAGAGAGAAAAGTTCTGAATACCTGCTCCTCTGTGGGATGTACAAATCAGGAATTCTTACTCTCCTGCCATTTTCCTGTATCGAGTAAATTATTCAGATCTTGCCAACTACTTTCTGTGGTGGAGTAGAACAATTCTTTTATTTTGCCACAGAACTGGACAGTATGTTAGACCAGCAGAGAGGGACAAGGTATTTCTCTGTGTAAATCTTACAGGAAGGTTGTCAATTTACCCTGAAAAGTGGCCTTTATAGTGTGAAATTTTATACTTTCAAAATAAATGTGGTTATCTTTGTTTGATGCAAAATGGCTACTGATTGTTTTTTCTCAGTTTTCATATAAACAAAATGATGAAAGTCACCTTGGATGCAGAAATTCAACAACTCTAAGGTCGTTTTTTCTGAGTATCTTACTGTTCATTCTTGAATGTTAGCACCAATTTTCCAAATTGAACTTGTCATAATTATATAATACACGTCTCTGATCTATTTTTCTACTCAGCTCTTTCAAGTTTACATTGAGTGACATTTACCAACGCACTTTGCAGTGGGACAAAAAAAGCTTTTTAAAAGGGTAAGACGCGGAGAACTAACCATGTCGACAAAAGAAATCTATGAAACCGCTCTTTCGGTGGAGTCTCAATCAGGCGTCAAAGAACCCAAAAGAAAGGTTGTTATCTGATTTATATCACAGTCGGACCAATTATAGGGCGAGTTGAGTGGGAGCACTCAAAGGCAGCTCACTTCCCTGAGGAATAATACGATTTATTGTTTGCAAGGCAGGATGTAATTTCCAGTACTTCTCTTGTGCCGTAAAGACGAAGTTAAATTCCTGCTTTTGCAGAAGTGCGGTGAAAGTACCAGCTCAGTTTCACATCACATTTCCCAGAGAGCTTTGAGGGCATGGTCAGTTTTTTTTTTATTTTAAATCGTATAAGCCTGCCCACTCTCACATGTCTGCTGCTAAATGACTTGATAGATCTAAGACTGCTTGAGTGTGTGTATATGTTTAGATAATGATAAAGATGACTTTGCCTGGAGGGTATAACAAGACTATTCTTGAAAACTGAAAAGATTTAGCAGCACTGACATGAGCTTCACATGAAATGAATGAACTTTCCAGAGTTTTACGATCTATAGGAGACACTCGTCTGCTCTTTCAGCCCACAGATACACTCTGTATACACGCTGTCTACCGTGAAGATGAAAAATTCACACTGCATACTGCCACCTGCAGGGGAAAAAGCCACTCTTCCTCTTCTGAGGTCCAAATGAAACTGCTCATTGGCCCCTGTGGTCGACATATGAGGAATCATGAGAGCGGTTTTGTTTCATTATTCTGCGTAGAAGAAAGTAACACCTCTCTAATAACCAATTAAATCTGCTTCAAATGTGATTGTGAATGATGTTTTTAACACTTTTTAAACCCCAGCTTAGTGTCAGTCAGTTTTTGATCGACTTGTGTGAGTCTCTTCTGGCTGAAAGTTTTTGTAAGAGCATAATGGGTTCAGAAAAGGTTCAAAAAGAAGTTTTTCAGAGTGCCTTGGCTGGAATACAATCTTTCAGGAAATTAAGAAGATTAAAACTGGTGGAGGTCTACAGTTTTCTTTGGATTTACCCTTTGAATTACAGGTAAAGCCACGTGCCTCTTATAGCAGATTAAAAAGAGTGATTGTCAGGCGTTGGAGGGGTCAATTAACGAGATAGCATTGTTTCAGCATTGCAGCCCCAGATTCCATCTCCCGGGGCACAGCTAATGGTCCGCAGTCACGTGTGCAGACCTGACAGCATCCATGTCCAAAGACAGCTGGCACAGATCTGCCTCGCACTCACTCTGAAAAGGGGAAGCTGTTATGAATGTAAGGAAGAGCTGCATCAACAAAAAAGGCACCTTTCTCACTGAGTGCTCCCAAAGTGTCGAGCTAAATCACCCTGAGCAGAGAGAGAGTTGCCAACGGTGAACATGTGCTGTGAAAGGAGACTATATAGAGAGCCGAGGCTGGTGAAAACAACAAGGGTTTGATCTAAAAGGAGAATAGTTTTCTATGACATTTCATCTAATATTGAAAGAGAGGTTTTGTCGTTCACATTTAGCTCAGTTATGTCTTTAACTTAAAATGTGGTACCAGAATTACCTGTTGACATCGGGAGACAGGTATCACCAAGGACAAGAAGTCATATTGCTCTCTATTTTCAGAGGTTCACACACGTAATACTTAACAAAACAGATTGTGAGGAAGACTACAAAGGATCATCATTACTGCAGGGACAGAGATGGGAGCCTTTTGTCGTGAGCAATCAAAGGCAATTGAGGGGGGGGCAGGACCATAGTTCCAGTTGCAAAAAAAGCCGGAAGGAATAATAAATAGAGCTTTATTCTCTACAGCTACCCTTTCATCGCAAATTAGCCTTGATTTGAGCTCCAGCTGGGTGTGAAATGACAAGGCGGTGTGGTGTTGAATCCAAGCCAAAGTGGCAATGCCTCACTGTGCTGCTGTTATTTATATATGCTGTTTCCATGTCATTCCTCCTCACGTCTTTCTATCAGAAAGAGGCTGGCATGAAGTCACCTTCCAATGTAAAGCAATTAAAACCAACTAGTTAGAAAATTATAGAAACTGTAGAGGAAGTTTGAAAAACCTCTCGGTGATATAGAAAGGTCTAATTATGTCAGTACAGGAGGTGACTAAAAGAGAAAATTGCAGCGTTTCTATGGTGAACTTTATTTCAGATCCTCCTTGAGCCATCAGTTTAAATAGTCTTCTCTGAAGCCCACCAAAAATGAATTTTCAAATCCAGCAAGTATAAAAATCAGTCACGACTACAGCCATCACAAATATTACATAATTTTATACACAGACACAAACTCATCTGCTATAGGCAAATTGCAACCTGCAAGCTGAAGCTTCTCAGGCCCATGACAGGGATGAATCACGCCGTTATTAACTCCCAAGACTCCGATGTTGAATACTTGAGTTAGGAACTGATTATTCATTAGGAGATGCTCTTTCTCTGGAGAGCTGTAGCTTTCTTTGACAATTTGCAGGTTATTTGAGGAACAGAGGGATCAACAAGTCCTGTACATCCTGAAACATAGCATGAGGCTGTCGCACATTCTGATCTGATCCCTGCAAAGCGATGGATAGACTCATTATGTAGCCTGGAAGTGTACGGCTGATTCATTCACGCCCTGCAGAGATAATGGTCTCAACTGTCGGAGGACTGAGTACCTTTAATTAAGAAACCTGTGAACCCAGAATAACTCCTGCTCGATTATGACAAGAGCGGGTTACACAAATGATAAAAACGCAGCCGCACTGCACAGCTGCTGGTTTCCACGAAGGAGATTCTCGGCCTTGACTTATTATGGAAATAAAGCAATTTTATAGCCTATTATTAATCATTAATTGTTTCATTCCTTGTGGCAAAAAAAAACAGTAAGGATGCCGTTTCTCACTGATATTGCAGAGGGAATAAACTGGTCTCTGAAGCCACAAGAGGCAAACCACCAGCAGTGGACTTAGCAAGTCAGTGCAGTAACATTGATTTTGCCTTCTCCGATAGGTCATCCTCAGTCCTGTGACGTGGAAGGAAAATGTTCAAAGACCACCTTTGCTATTCTACATGGGTTTCACCAGCAGCATTGATTGTAAACATTTATTTCAGATATCAGACTTTCGATCATTTCACAGTGCAAAAATCTATTAATAAAGGTGCCATGTGTTGCACATATAAATAGCATAGAAACCTTTAAACATGGTGTAAAACCTAAATCCTATAAGGTCAAATTTTTGAGGCAGACTAATTTGCAGAGATGGCAAAAGCTTCACACAGAGCATGTGTGGTCTTTTAGGAGACATTTAAAGATTTAATCCGGGTAAATTAATGAATAGTGGCATTTAACAGTATATTTGGACGTACTGTCTTACATTGTGTTTCGTTTAAAAAAAAAAAAAAAAAAGGCTTCAAATCACCACAGACGTTCTTACATCGATTTTTTTTTTTGCTCGTTAATTTGTACGCAGCTTTTCTCAAGATCAGTGCCTTGGAGACCAATTATCTGCATGTAGCATCATCAAGCCCTCACATCACAACCATTCACATGTTGCCAGCCAATTATCTGCACTTACTCCTGTAGCAGAGGGGCAGACCTGAGTCTTATGGGCTTTTCATCATTGTGAAAGACGCAAAGTACACTTTGATACAACAAACAAGCAGCATTTAAGCCCAACGCATTTGAGATTCATCCCTTTGGGTGTGTTTATTTAGCAAAAGGACCTGATTGTCTTCCAACACACAGAAAAAGAAAAAGAATTAGGTGTGCACCGATCACAATTTTCTTGCTATCACCAATCTTTAAAAAGCCTGACCTGCGATTACCGATTTTCAAATCATATTTAGACTTATTTCGGCCTTACATAAATAACAAACTGCAAACCTTTGCTCTTTTTCTTTTACTTCAGCTGACTGTTGTTTACCTGTGCAGCTGATGCATGCGTGGTGCCTGGGCCTATTAGTCTAGCAGAGCAAAAAGCTACGATGGATGACTTTCAGATGTTTGCAGAGGTAAATAAGACCAGTGGATAAGATTGGTTTCATATGTTAAGGAAATTGGCACCTATCAATAAGTGCATGTTTGATGATGATAATAATAATGATGATGATGATGATGATGATGATGATGATGATGATGATGATGAATGATGATAATAATAATAATAATAATAATAATAATAATAATAATAATAATAGTTGTTGTTGTTGTTGTTATTATTATTATTATTATTATTATCATTATTGTAACAATAATAATTACAACAACAATAATAATAATTATTATTATTATTATGATAATAATAATAATGAAAACAACAATAATGACAGTAATAATAATAATAATTATAACAATAACAATAATAATAATAATAACAACAATAGCTGACATGTCTTTAAAAACCTCCTTAGACAATGGGAGATTCATTCTCTGTTATGGAGGAGGTTGAAATGTCCTATAAGTGTCCCCTCTCAAATCAGTCATTAGCAAATCTGTGTGTTTAAAAGTGGAAAATTCAGTCCTCAGTAGCTGTGCTTTTGAAATGAGGGCCAAGGGCAAATGCTGTCTGTCATACAAATTTGAAGCCTTGTCAGAGCTTCAGTTGCCCTTATAGCTGCTTTGATGAAAAGGTCAGCCCATCAAATGTCAGGCTTCTCCTTAAAGGGGCATAGTCGTCAACCTTAGTATCTTTATGAAAAGCACTTGCCACTCCCATTGGGTCAAACTGCTGAAGGTATCGGGTAAGCAAGACGC